AGATACTCACACCTTAATCCCCAGAACCTGTGACTATATTATCTGACATAGCAAATGAGGCTTTGTGTTGAGATTAAGTTAAGAATTGTGAGACAGAGAGATGATCCTGGATTATCCCCGGTGGACTCAATGCAATCACAGGAACTCTTACGAAGGAAAGAGGAAGACAGGAGAGCGAGCGGCAGAGGAGGTGTGGTGAGAGAAGCAGAATTCAGTGAGGTGATGCTGGTCTGAAAAGTGAAAAGGGGCCTTGGGGCGCCTGGGTTGCTCAGTTGGGTGGGTGTGTGACTTCTGCTCAGGCCACGTTCTCGTGGTTTGGGAGTTAGAGCCCTGCGTCCGGCTCTGTGCTGACAGCTCGGAGCTGGAGCCTGCTTTGGATTCTGTCTGTCTGTCTCTTTCTCTCTCTCTCTCTCTCTGCCCCTCCCCTGCTTGTGCTCTGTCTGTGTCTCTGTCTCTCTCAAAAATAAATACAACGTTGAGAAAATTAAAAAAAAAAATACCTGTCAGTTCATGATGATTTCTTTGTGTGTGTTTATTTGAATTTCCAATTCAAATTCAGGATACAAGGCAGTTTAGTTGGTCTTCTTTAAAAAAAAAAAAAAGTTTATTTATTTATTTTGAGAGAGAGAGAGAGAGAGAGAGATAGAGTGGGGGAGGGACAGAGAGGGAGAGAGAGAGAATCCCAAGCAGGCTCCATGCTGTCAGCACAGAGCCTAACGTGGGGTTTGCATTCACTATTAGATTATGACCTGAGCCAATGCCAGATGCCCAAATGACTGAATTGCCCTGTACAAGTGCTCTTTAGTTGGTCTTTTTTTTTTTTTTCCCGTCTGTATCAATATCAGGGATGGCAGAATTAAAACACGCCCTAATTACTCATTTTGCTTCGTCCTATATCACAGTCTCAGAAAAACTACATCAATACTACTACCAACAATACTATTACTGAAAAGCCAAATCAAAACAAAACGAAACAAAAACCACACCTTTTTTTTTTTTTTTTTTTTTTGGTAATTTTTTGTCCTTAGGATATATCTCATGAGGGATATATAGTCAAATTACTATATTTTAAAATCACTTGGAAATACAATCTTTTAAAACATCATTTAACATGTGCAGGAGAGAATCATCCTCTTTTCCCTCTACTTACCAATCATCATGTCAATATCTGCCAGATAATTATTTCTATTGCTGTGGAGAATGTTGTAGTCTACTGAGTTTAATACTAACAACAACGATGATGATGATGATGAACATTTACTGTAGCAATCACGTACAATTGGGTTTTCTTTACCTGGATGTGAATGCTAAAGCCAGCTTCTGTTTTCTCTTTTGCAACCCTGATCGTGACTCAGTAGCCTGTTCAACACTACTGATAGACTTCCAGTAAGATATTAATGCCTTGTTTAGAGGCGCAGAGGATGAAAATGAGGACCACAGCCCAAACACTGCACACATAGATTCTCTTTAATATTTATTTAAAAAAAATTTTTTTTAATGTTTATTTATTTTTGAGACAGAGAGAGACAGAGCATGAATGGGGGGAGGGTCAGAGAGAGAGAGGGAGACACAGAATCTGAAACAGGCTCCAGGCTCAGCGTTGTCAGCACAGAGCCTGATGTGGGGCTCAAACTCACAGACCGCAATATCATGACCGGAGCCGAAGTCGGACGCTCAACCGACTGAGCCACCCAGGAGCCCCTCTCTTTAATATTTTAAGACCAGAACGAAGCTGATAAGGCAGCTTGCAAAAACAAAGACTACCCCATCACTAAGTACTGACATAACTGTAGTAACTTTAGAATGTGCAGTGTCTATTTGCTCCATTGTAAAGAGACCCAGCTGATTTGTCTTTGCTGATATGAGTCAACAAGTGTTAAAGAACAGAGGTAATATATGGAAAGGAAACGAGACACAGGGTGAGACTGGCTTTGACGGTCATGACAGTGATTGACAAAAATACACTCGTAGGAGTGAGAGTAACAGTTCTAGAAAGCAGCAAGTATTGGCATTTGGTTGAAGTTTCTTCTCAGTTACACCAGGTCACCCAAGCTGGCAGAACACAAAGCATTAAGTCACAGTCCAAAGGGTTAGGTCTGCGCTTGGCAGGGCTCCAGCCAGAAGCTGAGGTAGGGCTCCGGGTGACTGAAGCAGACAGCTGCACTGAAATACAAAGCTTTAGCAGGGTGTGGCCGGCTTTGTCAATTAGGAGAGTATGAGCCTAAAGCCATGGATCCTCACGACAACAGTAAGGCAGAGATTATATTAGGGTGAAGCCAAGGGAGCGAAGCAGGACTGAACCACAGCTCGGAATTCCAGTGTTCATGTGGACACAGAACCAGGCCTCACAAGAAAGGATACAAGTAGGAGACAGCACTGAGCGGAACCAAAAGCCAGGGTCACAGCCTAGTGATCAAGATTCTTCAGTTGCAAACAGTAGAAATGGACTCTGGGGAATGCAAACAAAACAGAGTTGTACGAAAGTTGTATCTATGATCGGGGCCGGGGTGGGGGGGTGGGTCTTACAGAATTGTCAGGAAGCTGGCAGTCCTATTTTGGGCAGAATCCAAAATACTCCGAAGGCTAGGATGTAGAATGTAGGAGCTACGTGGTCAATGTGCTGCTCTTGGAATGAAGTGTCATTCCAAATATTTTTAGATTCCATGTACCTCCGCTCAAGATTCAAATCTAGGGAGAGAGCATCCATTTGGCATTCTTTAGACAACGTGTTCCCCATTAAGCCTCCCTCACCTAATACCACAGAGCCCCTGGTGAGAGACTACAATGACAGGGAGAAAATTCACCAAAAGTAAATTTGGGGGCTATTTAAGAGAGGGTAAACAGGTGCTGGACAGCCACTGTACCACAAATGTCCAAAGATACATGGTAAAATCAAGAGAAACGGGGCCTGAGGTAAATTTAAATAATGTTTTGCCTGTAGACACAAAACCCATTGTGTATGTCTTAGACTTTTGAAGCTATGGAACTGCTTGGAGACCTGACATACTCTACTTTTTATTACCGTTCATGTTGGATTAGAAAATACAGTTTCCTAAGGGTCACGTGACAGCTAACAATACATACATACTTACTACTTACTCTACGCCAGACACTGTGGTAAGCGCATGACAGATACGTCATCGCATTTAATCTTCCGGTATCAGTGTGATGTAGGAAATACCGACTCACTTTACAGTTGAGCCAACTGAGGTTCAGAAGCCTTAAGTGGTTCAAGGAAGGGAAATGGGAGGAAACTGCAAAGCGGTATAGTCCTACTTATAGGAGGAGGAGAATGAGAACCAAACGGAAGTGAGGCTCTAAGTAGGGTATCCTCCCACATCGATTTTAACTTCTGTTGACCCTGCGACCATGTTCAGTCAGATACGGCAACAATAGCACAATAGGAACAGTGGGAGGATGAAGACATGTCAGGAATTTAGCAATACTGGTTGGTGAAGAGGGGGCTGAATTTAAGACCAAGCATGACAGAGACTAAAGAAACAATTAGACACAGATGCTGACCCAAACGAGGTAGTCCTCTGTTTTCCTGTCCAAAGGGCGCATGAAGGTCAGTCATGACTTAGACAAGCTTTAGTACCAATGTGGTCTTGTCCAGAAGAAGATTATAGTAAACCAGTAAGCCTAGTCAGTGTGTGGTATTTGGAGAAGTTCATTGGTCTGAGAGTAATCCATCGTAGCAGGACCCTGGCCAGAGACGTAGGGTGTAGTCAGAGCTGGGATTAGAGAACAATTTTCCATGTTGGATGGGGTTCTGGGAAAGTCTATAGTTTCAATTAGAAAGGGACACTAAAGGAGGCGATCAGTGCTATGGACTGGGAAAATATTACAGGGGAAAACAGATAGGGAAGGGGCATAGTTACCCAGAGTAGCACTCCACTTCTTCAGCCAGAGGACTGCATGATTCTCATGGGTGAGGGCTGATGAGACACTCAGTCTTGGTCAGATTTGGCTCATGCAGTGGGATCTTGGAAAATATAGTTGTGGGGAGAAAAAGAATACCAAGGGATGGAAAATGGAGCAGGGGCCAATCATTACAACCATCTCTAAACCTTAGGTTCACATATTACCCAGAGTTCAAGCTGTTCTTAAAACCAATACAAAAAAAAAAAAAAAAAAAAAAAAAAAAAAAAATCACAGCTTTAGCTAACTCTTCCATTTATCACAAAACATTCTTCAGATAGCCACAGTTGCTCACAAGCTGCCAAAATTCAGGCCTACTAATGGAAAAACACAAAAATTAAATTGCCTAGCTAGAGATTTAGCCATTCTTTTTGGCAAGACTCTTTTATACTTTTCATGGTGTTTATAGCGTTTCTCTACACACCGTTTTCTTTATTGAAGCTCTTTTTCTCAAGAATGTATTCTTTCCCTCTTTGAAGGTTTAAAATTGTTTGTCTACCAGTTGTCTTCCTTAACAAATGTCCTAACCTTCAATTTCTCTTTTATTTATAGATGGCATACTCTCCACGTAGAAAGTATTCCTTTGAGGATTGGTACGCCCTGAATTGTGTCCTCCTCCCCCAAAATTCATATGTTGCTGCCCTACCCTCTAATATGATGATACTTAGAGACGAGGCTTTTTGGAAACACCTAGGTTGAATTGAGGTCATGAAGGTGGGGGCCTCATGATGGGATTAGCGTCCTTTTAAGAAGAGCTAGAGAAAGCGCGAGCGAGATCCCGTGCATTGGAGAGAGTCTGTAAGAACATACAGTGAGAAGGCGGCCAGCCATCTGACAGCCAGGAAGAGAGCTTTCAGCAGAATCTGACCATGTTAGCACCCTGGTATCAGTCTTCTGGCCCCCAGGACTGCGAGCAAATAAATTTCCGTTGCTGAAGCCCCCCCCAGTCTATGACATTTTGTTTTGTGAGCCTGAGCTAAAACAAGGAGTCTTAACAATGTGATTTTTATTACACATTACTTAAGATTATTATGATACAACCCAACAAAGCCTTTCAGAGAAGTTTCGCGATTCTGTACCTGGTTGTTGTCTGTGACTGGCTTGTCTCCCAGCATCTGTCCTTGCCCTGCCCTTGCCTGCAGGCTTGACTGGGAAAAGGTTAGTTTCCTGGTCTTAGTAGAATACGTTGCTGTGCTCCCGGGCTCTGACTGTTAGGACAACGTCTCGTTTTGCATCCCTCTTGTTTCTACTTGAGCATTTACTTTTTCTCGATTACATCTCTCTTCCAGGTAGTTCACCTTAACGATAAAAATGAAAAGGAAAGACATAGTTTGGCAATTTCCCAAGTCCTAGCCTCGGTCAGTCAGCAAATCACCATTCTAGGTTTACCACTACAGTTAAGTACAATATTTGCAAGAAGGGAATGAAGGCTTCTTGTTTTCATTTTGAAAAGTTTTCGTAAATATCTTAATCTCACGATTTTATATTTCAATATATTTACTTATTACATCATCTTGGGCAAGCTAATTAACCTCTCTGCGACCATCATTCCTCACTCCTAACAGGAAAAAATAAGAGCAGCTGCTATATTACTTGACAGGGTTGTTGTCAGAATCAGACAGAATGATTACAAGGAGTTTGTACAAATGTCTCCTGTCACATTGTTAGCTGGGAACTATCTGCCTGTATTTAACTCAGCCACATTGGCCACACAGTTGATACACTGCACCAGACTAGAGGGCTAGGTTCATCTCTGGTGCTCTTTTGTATTTGGGGGCTATTTCTTGATGAATTTCTGCAAAACAAGTTTGGCTGAGGAGGGCAGTTTAATAGTAAGAACAAGGTGTGTAGGATGGAAATGATTATGGTACAAATCTCTACGCTAATGCTCTCATAATCCTCAATGGTGTGCCAGGAACTTGGAATTATCAAGTTTCGCTTTTGACAAAATGCTTTCTTTCCAGGTCCTACAAACGCGTTGCCTGAGAGGATGTAGGTATATTTTGCGGAGAGTAAAGCTGGCCACTTCCACTTTTTGTAAGCAGTAAGACTTCAAGTGGAAGCAAGAAGGAAATGGAATTGTTTTCCTGCTTATAACTCTCATTGAAGACCTTATTTCGACACTCTCCATGGGTGTGTGTGTGTCAGCGGGGCTACTAGGTATGCACAGGTGTGAGAAGGGGAGAAAGAGAAGAATCAAAACATGGAAGGGAGACACTGGAATATTCACACTGTCTCAGACGTGAAATTAAAGGCCCCCAGAAAATTTCACTTTCTTTTTCTCCTTTCCTCAAACATCCACTTGATAAATCCCCCTTTTTTCCCCCTAAGAAATTCCTAAGAAATATATGGGTAAAACTTCTGTTGGCTCTTTTATCCTGTTTTTCACAGTAATCTTTATGGTTGTTACATGTCTAAACAGTGGAACAAATATTTACTTGTATCAACAGAGGTACACATTCAAAAGAATAAAGTTCTGGGGAAAAAAATGTGACACTGCTTTGGAAACATGTAAAATATTAATAGAACATAAGTATCTGAAGAGTGGCAATGCTAGGGAACATAAAAATTAATTGTCGTTGATGTATTATACAGCAGATGAAAAACTGTGATGTCTGTTTATGTTGAGACATTATGCTGCAAAACAAAGTTTTGGTAGAGATACCTGTGGTTTTTTCTGGCATTAACATAAGCTATTTTCACACTAGCAAAATTTTGTTACAATAGAATGATATGGCCATCTCATTGGCTTCCTACCTAGGTTACTTGCCAATTTTAATCTATAGCAACTTCTAAGCCTAACTGCAACAAAAAATTCTTTACTGAAGGGTTAAACAATGTAAATCTGTATTCCTATTCACATCTAGACATGTGATTTGATCATATATTTATATACCTGTATTTCCTTTTTTTAAATTTTTATTAAAAATTTTTTTTTCAACGTTTTTCATTTATTTTTGGGACAGAGAGAGGCAGAGCATGAACAGGGGAGGGGCAGAGAGAGAGGGAGACACAGAATCGGAAGCAGGCTCCGAGCCATCAGCCCAGAGCCTGACGCGGGGCTCGAACTCACGGACCGCGAGATCGTGACCTGGCTGAAGTCGGACGCTTAACCGACTGCGCCACCCAGGCGCCCCCTGTATTTCCTTTTTAAAAAAATATTTATTTTTGGGAGAGTGCAAGTGGGGGAGGGGTAGGGAGAGGGGGACAGAGGATCCAAAGCCAGCTCTGAGCCGAGGCCAGCAAGCCAGATGTGGGGTTTGGACTCACAAACCACGAGATCATGACACTGAGCTGAAATCGGAGCTGAAGTTAGATGCTCAACCCACTGATCCATCCAGGTGCCCCCATATACATGTGTTTCTTTTCCTTATTTTTTAATTTTTATTTATTTATTTATTTATTTATTTATTTATTTATTTATTTATTTATTTATTTATTTATTTATTTTTTAGCGTTTATTATTGAAAGACAGAGCATGAGCCTGGGAGGGGCACAGGTAGGAGGAGACACAGAATCTGAAGCAGGCTCCAGGCTCTGAGCTGTCAGCACAGAGCCTGATACGGGGCTCAAACCCCACGGACTGTAGCCGAAGTCCACACCCAACGGACTGAGCCACCCAGGCGCCCCCATATACATGTGTTTCTTAAGCATTTCTTAGAACTCTGAGGGGTGGGTAGGAGGTATTCTTGATCTAAACTGAGCTTTTTGAGACAGAGTAGAAAACGGTTTGTTAGTTGCCGATTACAATGTTTGGAGTTCCCTGTATTGCAGACACTTTTTTCCCCCCTTTATTGGAGATAGGGTTAGGTTAACTTTGTTTCCTGTCTGGTATTGGACCCTGGCAAAGATCAGAAACCTTGGGATATTCAATCTGATGAGGCACATTATTCTCAAGTCTAATCATGCAAAAATCTTAGTTGCTTCTGAGTCTCTAATAAAATGATGGTGGTCTGGTAAACACAGAAGCAGGGCTCTTATCAGTACCAAGTGACAGCCAGTTCTTCACCTCCAGTTTAGGAAAGAGTGTGAGGAGAGTGGTAATAAATCAGTAAAAATCGATTGTAACAGAAAACAAAAACAGCCTCTTTCCGTGTAATTACGCCTGTGAAGTTTACACATTAACCTTACCATCAGGCAGGGAGGGTATCATCAGGTAAGGTAGGGAGGGAGAATATTTTCATTATTTTAAAGCGCATTGGTTTCACTGGAGACTTTTAAGTTTTTCCTGAGAGTGTGAAACAGAGACTCAAGCGTCATGACACAGAGCGCATCAAAACATAAAACTGTTTGATACATGAATTTTTAAACAGCGCCCAGGCTATGAGTTTTCTTCATGCACACCTTAATGCTTGTCTTTTCAAAGAACTTGAAACGTAAGTAGTATTAGGTAATCGCTAACAATTAAAAAGCTGTATTTTCAGAGTCCTCTGCAAATGCCTTCACGGCGAATCCATTTCCGTAACGGTCTTTCAAAGTGGCATTATCTTCATCCCACTTAACCAGCTGTAAGAGACAGCGAGAGAGAGAGAGAGAGAGAGAGAGAGAGAGAGAGAGAGAGAATGGCATCTTCTGCGTTTTCCGTGTGGGCAGACTGGACTGGGAAGTGGAGTTAGAAAACACCGGTTCCAGTCTGTGTTCGACAACTCGACGACCTGAGGGATGTTTGGCCTCCCGAAACTTCAGGAGGTTCCCTTGAGACACTGAGATGGTAACGATCACGTTATACACGACCTGAGCCCACCTACGGAGTTCTCTACAGGCAGCAGCTGGGATGCAAACGTGAGCCACAATTCCCATCTCCAAGCAGCCGCATCCCTGCCACAGCACTGGGGTTATAACAAAGTGTATGTTGGGGGGGGGGGATGTCAACCCAGTGAGGTCACTCCTTTAGGCCAGGGCCCCCAAATTCTGCACCTGGAGGGCTGTACCCCGCAAAGCCTCGCCAACCCGACTTGGCACAATGGCGCCCTTAGGCTCTTTGCTCACCCAAGCCGCGGAATTTTTAGCAGCTCTCCTTAATCACGGGAGCCTTTTTCTCCCAGTTCTCCCCAGAGACCTCGTCAAGCCTCTCCTCCCCTGGCCTCGCCCAGGGAAACGTACCCGTATCCACTATTACTCCACATTCCCCCTCACGCACCGCTCGTGCGGAGGTGGGGGAATGGAGGAGTGGCTTGGCTTTTATATGCCTTGCCAGCCAATGAACGTGCCGCCGTTCTTCCGGTCGGCGAGCCGGCCAATCCGAACAGGCCGGTGTAATCTTCGGCTCTACTCGGCTCTTTTCGCTGATGCGGGAGCTTGGGGGCCACCGCCGCTAGAGAGACGCTTTCCTTTTTTTATTTTTTTTCCATGTGTTCACTTCCGGGTCCGGCGCCGATCCGGATGCCCGAGGCAGAAGGATGTTTGACCTCCGGATAAGCGAGGCGCCACTGTGCATTCATTCCCGGCTGCATCGGTGGCGACAGCAGCGACCCGGGCGGCGACTCTCCGGCCAGAGGCGGCGGTAGGAGGCACCGGCAGTAGTGCGGGGACCGAGTCCGAGCCGAGCTGCGTTCCCTCCCTCGCTCGTTCCTTCCCCCCCTACCTCGCTCGCTCCCTCCCTGCGTGGCTCGCTTTCCTCCTCCGGTCGCCGGCGGGTGTGATGTGCCGCCGCCGCTGCCCCCGCCGCCGCTGACTGACGGAGCAGGGGGCGCCGCCCGCGCCCGGGACCGACCCCGCGAGCTCGCGGCCGCGCCTCTGAGGTAA